ATTTATGAATTCATGAAAATACCTCAGGAATAAATACACAGAAAGTCAGACAGGCTGACACTTTTTCCTCTCTATAAGGATTAAAATTAAAACTACTATATATAAATCAACACCTATGTACACACACACACACACACACACTCGTATTCAACCTGACATCCAGACAGAGAGGTAGGCTTAGAGTTTAACCTTTTCTTATACTATGCCTAGTTAAATGTCAGGAAGAAAGAATATTGTTGCCATTTCAAAACTATTCAGACAGTGGCTTCACAAACACTTGTATGATACAAGAGAGAGCAATAATCCTAAAATTATCTAGCCAACAGCTTCTTGTTTCCCCTCTTTCTTTGAATGACAGAGTTTAAAAGTTGCTTGACCTATCAGCTTGAGTAAGCAGTGCTGTATAGAGAAGTTGGGGATACCTTAAGGGTTAACATTTGCCTTTCAGTCTTCGGGACAGAGTCTGAATGCAGCTCTGACCAGAGCCCCAAGAAGGAAAAAGCCCAACTTTGCACAGTTGGAGTGGGCCATTTATTCTAATATCATGAACATTAAAGAACTATTATACTTTAATTATTGACTTCATTCGTGACTGTGCCATTGAATTTATGTTAACTGTATGTTGTATTTTTAAAAGGGGTATTTTTGAGGCATTTATAGGCTATCATCTGAAGAGGGAAAAGCTTTTAGGGTGCTGTTTCGTAACACGGTCCAACAGTGCCACTGAGCACCAAATTGGAGGTGGAACAGCAAAACTATTCTGAGCACAGGATGTCGCTAGGTCAGTCTAGCACCTCCCGGGACCTTAAGATGGACCAGAACATGTGAATGAAGTTAACAGTTACCCTTAGGAAGCATGGTCTAAAGGAATCTGGAGAAAATGGATTGGTTTTCTAGTTCAACAATTTCCAGCTATCTCATAAAGTTCCCGGAACTTCAATCCAACTCTCGAGTGACTGACATTGATTAGAAACTGAAGATTTAAATGAGATTTTTGTAATGAAAACCACGAACGATTCTCTGAAACACTTTGGAACTGAGCATGAATTTCCACAGTGAACTGACTACTCTCAATTGATTCTTTGGAAAGCACTCCTGAGTAAAGGGTGGTCTGCTCAGCAACAGGAGATTACTAACGGGGCTGGAGAGAGAGCACAGCAGGTAAGGCACTTGCCCTGCATGTGGCCTGGTCCCGAGCACTGCCAGGAGTGATATTCCGGAGTGCAGGGTCAGGAGTAATCCCTGAGCATTGCAGGGTATGACACAAAGACAAGAAAAAAAACTGCTAAGAATATTGCTCACGGCAGTAGATCACAGGGCATTGAGGAGAGGCAAGAACAGTGGCTTCTGGTACCATCGGCATAGTTTCATGAAGTATTCCTAGGCAATGATTTGTGCTTCTGAAGTACTATCATTTTTAAATGTCACTGAAATGTAAGAATAAGTGAGTTTTAAAGAATTCTTTTTTGTTTTGTTTTGTTTGGGCCACACCTAGCAGTACCAGGGCTTACCTCTGGCTCTGCACTCAGGGGTCACTCTTGGTGAGGCTTCGGAGAACCATATGGGGTGCTGGGGATCAAACCCAGGTTGGCCATATATAAGGCAAGTATTACAGTATTATTGCTCTGTTCCGAAGGAATATTTTTAAGGCAACTTCCAACAAAGGACTGTTGCTATTAAATAAGGAGAAAATAATGTTACAGCATGTCTGTCTTTACATCTCTCTCTTGACCCTTGCCTTTAGCAATTTGTACTACAGATCACCACAAAGTATACAAACTAAAGGACCTAGTTATAAGGTAAAACTATTCAAACTTTAAAATACTTTTTTATCCCAGATAAGGATGCAGTGGGAGAGAGGGGGATGCCTCAGGTAATTCTCAGCAGTGCTGGTTGTGTCAAGGACCAATACCCACCTCCTGCATGCAAAGCATGCACACATCTCTGTGCTATCTCTCTGGTTCTCAAAGTATTTTATAAAGAACTTCTATGATAAAAGTCTTCATTTCTTTTTTCCACCCCTTAGCAATCTACTTTTACAGACAACTTGTTTTAGCGATCTACTTTTACACCCAACTTCTTTTAAAGCAGAATGATCCACTCCAACTAAGAAAGAAGAGATACTTTCCAATGTAGGTGGAAAGCAGATTGTTTTCAGTTTGTGTGTGGACTTGGAAGAAATAGCTCATGCCTGTAAATATGGGCTCCTAAACGATCAGATTTATATGCCTTATCTACTCTCTCTGCCTTCACATTCCAAGTAACATGTCTGCCAAGACCTTACTCTCATCTGGGCTTATAGATCCGTTATCTCATAGGCCAATGCCGATGCAGTATCACTTCTGGACTCTCCCAGCTTTCCCTTGTACTGTTTCCACATGCTTTGAGGAATATTTCTGTGGGAAGTTTTCCTTTGGATCATCTTAAATTTACAGGAGACCTGACCCAGGCAACCCTGTGCTTTTTAAGATTTCTCTCTCATATAGTCTCACTATTCTGAAGAAAGGGCTGGAAGAAAATGAGGTAGAGAAGAACCACTGGGTTATCAGAGCTAACATTTCCAACTTTAGTCATGGAATAAGACAGCTCCACATCATCCTTCCTCTGATTTTCACTCAGCACTGGGCAGCCATCACACTGACCACGATTCCCTAATTAGCATTGTCTTTAATAACATCCAATCTGGCTTTCTGTCTTCAGCAGAATCTACAAATCACTTCTCCCATCAAAAAACCAATGAACTTTTGACCATAAGCAGGTATTTCAATGGTGTTTTCTCAAATACTTTCCCGTGTTCTTCCCTCCTTAATTGTCTAATTTTCAGTATTAGCTTTGTCCACTCCTAGTGCTTTGGGTCAAACCTGAGATACATACTTGGACATAAAAATTTAAATTTGGTCTATCTTGATTCAGCAATTGTTGAATTTCATCTGAATAAATTTCTAGTATATTCTTGTATTTGTCAATTTTCTCTAAGGCTCACAACTCCACCCTTTCACTCCCATTCCTATATAATAAGCATTCATCTATTACTTTCTCTATTATCATCTCTGGTTGTTCTTGCAAACAGCAGAAAGTTATATCCCACCTCTTTAAGCTTAGCCTCAACCAGAACTTAACTCCTTTGTTCTCCTAGATTATTTAATCTTTTCAGTATTGTCCTTTCCTTTCAGCTGGCTTTGTATGCTATTTTTAATGGTCTATCTTTCTCAACTTAAAGCAATGACTTCTAAGACCTAGTACCCATCTAGTGAGCATCTTGGTTTTCTTTTTATGCTGTCAAATGTCTAAAGTAAGTAGTCAATGATCACTGAATCTGTATCTTTGACATTTTCCTCATGTAGACTCAGAATCTGGCTTCCATTTCTTTTAATGAAAGCTATTTTTTTTAAAGGTCACAAGATCTAGCCATACCCTTTATTTTTTCTGAGATCTCATGATTTCTCATTTGTAACATAATTTCTCCTCCATTCCTACTGTTACTGGTTCATCTTATTGCAATGGCCAACAATGACATACTAGGGGCTACTTTCTAAAAGTGGCTCTAATTTCAAGCAAATATATTATGAATTCTTAAAAATGGTATAAACAAGATACATTTTTATTTAAAAACCCGTAATTCTCTACTATCGACCATATCCACACAAGACTACCCCCTTGTTTGTAGGTCTGTAGAACACCTAACTCACCTTTCTAGATGACCCTTTTTACCACAGATGAGAGTTCATTTCCTTACTATGCTTCTCTTTAGCCCGTACAGACTACCTTTTTTCAATCTGTTCTCCTTACTCTACTCTGCCATCACCCATCATCTGAATTTAAATAATCCCTCAAAAACTTGTATTACTGCTCACAAAACCTTGAACTAGATCACATTTTTTCCTTGAAACATTCTTACTTTGGTATCAGCATAATGTGTGAATAGCTCACTACACATTTCCTGCCTAAACTGCTGCCATTGAAACAGAAGAAGGAGAGATGTCGTGGGTAGCTGTTCAGTACTTAAGGACAACAAACTGACTTTGTCATATTTGATATAAAAAGACAGGTATCAATCATGATTTTGGGTCATCACTTTTTGGGGGGGAGGCCACAGGGAAAGGGGGACTGGGCCACACCTGGCAGTGCTCTCCTGGTGATGCCTGGGGAACCATACACAGTGCTGGGTGGTCAACCCAGGGTGAGCCACACGTAAGGCAAGCACCAGCACCTAAACCCCTGTATTATCACTCTGACCTCTCATCTCTTTTTAAGAATGTTTTAAGTTACTGTATATGCAATTTATGACATCCATTTCTTAAAAGTTAATTAAGCAAGTAAGGGGCAGCTTCATGATCAAACAAATAAAGTTCATCTGAGATCTTACAACTCAACAAAAAAGTGTCCCCCAGGTTTCATGCATGCATAAAGAACACGATGGTCTTCATTTCCTGAAGATTTCAATGCACGTGCCATTCACCCTTTCTCTTGGGCTTCCTGAGACCCTACCTCGGTGAGAGCAGCTCCCTATGACCCATGTCACAGCTGAAGAGAAGAAGTCTGGCAGTTTGGACAGGTGCTTGGAAGACCACACAAACAGGAGCCGTGTCAGGAGAAACATGCAGACACAATGCAATCAAATGTAAAGCTCTACGTTATTCTCACAGCACTCAGAATAAAAGGTATGACTACACCTACACACACACACACAGCAGAGAAATACTTAAGCCGAAGTATTAAGTTTGTATCTATGACGTTTTTTAACTCTCCACATAAAAATTCCTTAATTGCAGGGATCAGTATTCAATACCCCTTGCTGCCACTGTCAGAGTGACGCGTCGTCAAGTGAATCTGGACTGCTACGGCTGCTCCTGGGGCTCAAATACATCTAACCTCATAGAAGTAAGAGTCCGACACTCTCAGCTAACAAACGGGATGGTATCTACGAACAGCTGTTAGCTTACCCCCACTATACCATGGAACAAAGCCATTTTATTAGAAATAAAACTGTCACTAGACTGTTTTCCTTGATGGCAGGGTTTGTACTTTATTCAACCTTGTATCCCTCAAGACCTAGCTCAGGTCACTACACAGAATAGGCACTCAAATATTTAATAAATGCTTTCTTGAAATAAGGGGACAGTATACAAAAGCACCACCTGGAAAAACAAAATGCAACAGTAGAATGAAAAAGGAAGTATTACTAACCAGAAATATTTACTAATGGATTTGTCAAGAAAATAAAGAGGCACTTCACATTCACCATATAACTCAAATCATTCAATCCAAGTCTCTATTTCCTATAGTGGCACTAAAGACATTTTATGGCAACAGTTTTTTTTCTTTCTTGGGGGTGTCTACAGACACTTTACAAATCTAGTAATTGTGAATCTTTTCTGAGAAAAAGCTGGACATATGTATATACACACAAAAACTAACTTTGCACGTACTTTTCAAAGAGTTCTAAAATCCAGGTTAAAAATTCCTGATTTAAATAGACTTGTGTCACTTTTTAAAGGTTAAGATTATAAAAAGCATATAAAGCTTCCCTGTGTGTGACAGATCATACAGAATTTATCAAAAATTAATTTGAAACGTTAAAGAATTACTCATTCTTTACTATCATTGATTTCACCAATTTACTTGCTATGTGAAGCAGTATTTTTGTCAGGTGTTGTGGAATTTCTTCTACACTTTGGTATAATCATGACTATGACTTTAAGAACTCATTTAAAAAAATACTCTATCAAATATTAAATAATCAAAATTACTAAGCTTATTATTAAGCATACAATAATCTGTAATTTACCAAGTTAGAGAAATGATAGATAACCTTGAGCCATTCTTTGTGAAAATATATAAACGGAAGTCTAATTGGCCAAGAAGTCTTTTTCCAATGTATGGGGTATGTGGAAGTGCGAAGGGAAAAACAGCGGGCAAGGGAAAAGTTCTGGGAATCTACTCAGAGGACTGGCGAGCACTAAAAATGTGTGTGTATGAAAGTGTGTGTGTGTGTGTGTGTGTGAGAGAGAGAGAGAGAGAGAGAGAGAGAGAGAGAGAGAGAGTGAGAGAGAGATGAAGTGGAGGGAAAGGGAGAGAAAGGAAGGGTGAGAGAGAGAGAGAGAAAGAAGAGAAAAGAGGGGAGAGGGCGCGCCAGAGCAAGTTACCACAGGTTTTTCTCACAACTGAGTAAATGGGAGCGAAGCGCCTCGGAGCACTCTAAGATATCCAGGCGATGAGAGGCTTGCAATCAAGCCTGAGAAAGCTACGGACTAGAAAGTGTCATTGCAGGGAACCAAAAGTGGTAAGAATCCAGGAGCCTTAGCACCACAGGAGACCTCAATAGGACTTCTTGGCTTCTTAGAGCAAAAATGAAACCACAATCAACCCATGATAAAGGCTTCTTTCTATAAGCCTACTGGATTTTTATTCATATTTCTCTGAAATTCTTATAATGATTCCCACCCTAAAGTCACTTTCCAGAAGCAGATTGTCATTTATGTGGAATTTTATAAAAACAATTGAAATGACTACATAATTAGCTCTTGTATAACCTCAGTTAAATAAATTGAAGGAGAGCTTAGATTTTTAATATATTCCACCATACCTTGGACAAAGTCATTTAATCTGTAGCATTCTACCTAGTAGAGAGTAACTAGTTTTTACAGGTGACCTCAAAAACTCCAATTCCAACATGATTTTTAAGTTATCATCTCCTCCCAAAGCTTACTGTTATTTTAACTCTTCAGCCTTCCCTTTTAGTACTTGCGTTACCTTTTTATTTTTAATTAGGCATATCTTTTATCACAACGATTTTTTTCTTTTCCTCTTTTCCCCCCACAAGCCTCAAAAGATAGGACTTTCTTTTTGCTCCCCAGAGCTCAAGTTAGGCAGAATACAGCCCCAGGCTCTAGGAATCAGCTTTCACCCACTACTCAGAATTGAGTCGTTTCTTTCATTATCAGTTTTAAACCTACTTCAAAATACTAAGAATTATCCAAAAAACAGTGCTTCACATTAGATCCTAATAAGTACTCCACTATTCTCTGAGATTAACTGAAATGATCTATGACAAGTTACAAGGCCTAATTTTAGAGGATCCCAATTTCTTCTCTTTCACCTTAAGTCTCATTCTGATCAAGTGTACTTGTGATATAGTTTTATTATCACATTTTAAATTATTAAACAGTGAAATTTCCAAACAGGTATCCCACAGAACTATGGTTTGTTCAATAAAAATATTGTACTAGTATAGTTGCTTCTCACACACAATATGTACCCCCATATTCAAGTTTCTGATAAATCAACTAAGTTAAAATTCTGTTTCTGAGGCATTTCCTGGTATACTAGGCAGTGCATTAGAAAAGATAGTATATTGCATGTAGTCTATAATAATTATCTTTTAACCATCTATGTATAATTAACAACCATTCAAAAAGAAAGTGCAAATGTGCAAATAAGAGAACAAAAACAGTTTCTAAACATGTAATGCATAATATTGGACATTAATCCATACAACTAAAAACAATTTCTGACAACATCCTCTGAGCATTAAATGACACCACCAATTTTGTTTTATATGTATTCTTCTCAGGTATTCAAAGAATGCAATAGACATTATCTTCTTGATTTTCAAATTTTCATGAGTATATTAGAATATTACCATTTTTTTCACAGATCAAAAAACAAAGAACTACCATTACCTTTGTATATTTTCAATAATAGAGCCAAAATAAGAACAATTCTAGCTAATCTCATCTGGGATCTTAATTAGAACTACAAGTTTATTTGTAGGAGTTAAGAATATTATCACTCATGAGAAACAATGCCAAAATTATGCTAATAAATGGTGTTAAAGGCCTAATGAAGAAATACTTTAGCAACTATGAGGTAACACACTAGTTGTAGGCATGAGGAACGTTTATATTGGCTCTTTTGGGTGTATACATTAAATGCAAAATCAGAAAGGAATCATGCAAAAATCCGGTTGCCCATGCAAGCACCCCAGAGTCTAATCCTCTCCTTTCAGTTCTGTTGTCAGGCCACAGTAGTGTGGAGACTTGTAGGCTGCTGTCCTTGTTGTAATGAATGGGAAGAGGCTGACAGTGGCATAGTCGAAACCTTCACCTCTTCTTCCCCTGTGGAAAAGTCAGTCATGGTCTAGTTATGGGTGACTAGATTTGTTAACAGTCCCTTTAAAATGATTTCAATATTTGGAATACTGATACATATACAAAACACATGCTTAAAGGTTGGAATCTGGGTGTGAAACAAGACATGAATCTTAAAATATAAACGTATCAAGTAACTAGAAAGTCATTACTCTAAACACACCCTTAGTTTTAATCCTTTATCAGAGACAAGAACAATATAATAGATTTAGGATAATAAATAAACAAAAAGAAAAAAAAAAGACCAGGAAAGCCATTCTTTTCCAAGTCAATTGGACCGCTTAGAAATTCAGATACTTTTAATGGCAAGCAGTACATATATATATTTTTTTAATCTAAGTAAAACTAAAAACTAAATTTATGCAAGGTGATCATGTGATTTTTCAAATGGAAAAATGACAATACAAGTTTATAAACATTGAAAGTGTGTTTAGTAAAAAGAAATTAAAATTAAATATTAATTTAGAGAATTTACAGCATCTGAAAACTCAGTATAGATTTTTGAAGTAATTGGAAAATAGTAAAATGCTAAAATACAATGATCCAATTGACTGAAAGTGAGATGACTACTTCTAGGTCAGAGAACTATACATGAAATGAGATCAGTTCTCCTAATTATAATTGATAATTACTTGATTACAAGTGACTTCTTTCACATGACACAAAATTCAATCAAGTCACTGTTAAAATGGCTAACTCAGAAACAAAGAAAATTGAAAGAAAAAGTCCTCTCATATGTAAAATTTGAATTAACAAAAAGCATGAAAAAACCTCAAGCCTAAACAGTTTCAAATATTTTTCTAAGTGTATTTTAAAACAATGCTTACAGACTTTGACTATTATTTGTTTTTCAGATAATTAATTTTTAGCATTATGGAATAAAAACACCATGGCAGAGTTCTTTGAAAAACAAATTTGCAATATTACATTTGAAAAGACAGTTATAACTGACACCATGAAGAAAAAGTCATTCAGTCTCTAGACAGATTCCTTTTTTTTTTTTTTCCAGAAAATTGGCAAAGATTCTATAAACCCCAAGGACATAGAAAGGAGACTGCATAAAGGAAATTTGAGACTAGAGTTTTTGGTGAGAACATGGTACGAGGACTATGCAAGAGATTCATTTTCAGAGTCAATAAACAACTTAAAAAATATATGACTATATTCCTGACCTGGGATAAAGTCTGACGAAAAGATATGGTTGAAATAAAGGGATCTAAGAATGTGTGAGAGCAAAAATCAATGACTACGGGAAGAAAGCCAAGTTCAAGTACAATCCTGTGATCTTCATATATAAGGAGAGCAGCAGTGCTATATCAAAAACATTTTAATAACTCAATGTGGAATCTGAGTTCTTAGCTACACCTACTAACTTAAAGTGTGATTTTGAACAAATCATTTAACCTCTCTGGAATACACCCTTACCATTCCTAAAAAGACTGGACAAAATAAGCCATTTTTTAAACAAAAGCACAGAGTCCCAGTAATTAAGAGAGAAAAATCTGAATAGACTTAACTATAGCTGCCCATTAATCCAAGTTTCCTCCCAAGAATATTTTAAAACTACTTCTAAATTTAGCAATCTAGGTATGTAGCCAAGAAAATGCTGCTAAAAAGATCTCACCTAATTAAGGAGGAGATAACTAATTTTAAACACAAAATTGTTTTCAATTATGCAAAGAAAATGGAAGCCACGTTTGCTGTCAAAGCCTTTTCATGACAGGTTTCAGCTAGATCAATCCTTAGTAATTAACTGAAACAAACCATAACTAAGACCTTAAAATACAAATATATACAAAGATAGAATCAGTATCGGTGTGAAATGTAGATGACCGACATCTTTGATTATTTGCTCCTGAATGTCAGGGATCCTATTCTGCTGAATACAGTTAAGAATAAACAGATGTGTCTTTTCCAGTGTAGAATATTATCTAGGCACTATCTTCAGTGGCAGGTCTCCCTGAAACAGGACATTCTTTCCACTATGAAGCACTGACCATCTCTCCTTTGTAAGATACCTTGACAGTGAATGATACAAAACTGAACCTCTGTCAACAGTTCAACTTCAAGTAAAAAGGAATTAACTTCTTGGGATGAGAGGCAGAAACTGCCTACCTATTCAATTAAACATTGTTTAGATGTATTTAGTTTTTTTTTAATTTTTGCTTTATCATTTGTAATTGTTTCTGAAAATCCTAAATATGTGACTACAATAATACAACTACTCCGTTTTAGGGCTGAGTTTGTTCAGCTTCCTGAAGTATTCGTAAAATATTTTTAAGCCATGAGAATATTCTGTGTGACTCCTGTTAACAATTTAAAATATTTTGGTATGTTAAAACTAAAATTTTTGTAGTCATCTCAGTCTTAAATATAATTTATAAGTTTAATATCAGTCACCATTCAAATACCTATGCTAGCAGAAAACGAAGTCTGAATAGTAAATTGTCCCCACCTCTCACAAAATATAATTCGAAACCTACAGTTGGTGACTTCCTTCTCAGACTATCTGAAAAAGTAGTGCTCCATGGTTGAGTAAACGTAAAAAGAGAAAAACAGAAAAACCCACGAGAGAACCATCAACTAAATGCCACATTTTTCCTCTGAATTTCGATGAAAACTTCAAATGACTAATGTGAGGACAACTATACTCACAAATCAGACTACTTACTAGCACTCTGCTGTTTCCAGATTATCTACTGCTGCTCTTTTTGTGCTGGTAAGAATACAACTAGAAAACTGAAAGAATAGGAAATTTTTCGAAGGTCGCCATAAAATAAGTCAAACACAAGTTAAAAAAAACCAAAACCAACTAAAAGCCAGCTAAGCTCTGTACTTCCGCAAGGCATCCTCCTTTTTACTGCAAGTCCAGGCTGTTCTGCCTCACTCTTGGAAGTCCCCTGTTCTCGTCCATTCTATCTAGACAATATATAAAAAGGACCTCCTGTCACAAAGGGCAGCTGAACGCTTAATGCAACAACATACTACGTCTTGTTCCTGTGCTCTTCACTCAGTTGCTTCATCAACATGAAACGCCTTTCTCATTCCCTCCTGCTAGCCCAAATCCAAGAAACCACACAGTAGAGATCAATTCCTACTTCACCAATGAAGCCTCCCCAACAATTACAGGCTCCACCGATCTCTCCGATTCCAGTATCATAGTTATTACTCTCATACATAATCTTAATTTTCTCTCTTCAATCTCACTGTAAAGTGCCTGGAAAGAGTATCCATATTTTATACTTCTTTTGTATTACCCACATAGCTTTAGTTCATTGTTGGGATAGGAACCCAAATATTCATTATAATTGGTTTAATGTTTTATTTTGAAAAGTTTAGCATATTTAGGGAAACTTTAACTTTTAATGTTATAATCAGTTAGGAAATATACTAATAATTAAAATATCACATTTCTAAATGATCAAATCCGAACAGAACAAAATAACACTCTACTATGCTGACTTAAATGGAAGAAAGAAGTACTGGGAACTGAACACTCAGTGTTTCAAAGTGAGTATTATATAGGAGAGAACTAAATATGTCACTCTGGCTTATTACCTCTAAGCGAACAAATAATCATGCATCCCACCAGTGTGCAAATCACTGCATTAGGTGTGTCAAGCTTATGAAAGTTAATTTCACTGAATTAACCATGAACTTTACTCTATCAATAGCCACAAACCATGCTTTCTTAATCCACCTAGTTGTCGTGAAAACTAAATGGTGTTGGTAAGGGAACAGAGGTGAAGAATTTTGATGGATCTCTGTAAATTCACCTACCAACTTTGCTAAACACAAGAGAACAAATACCTCACTAGTATGATAGCATCACATTATTAAAATAATGATGTGTCATGCCATCTCTTAGAGGCCATGACAGAGGATAAAAATTAAGTCTGCCTATTATGTAACAGAAGGGAATATTCCATTCTACTTGAAAATATTCAGAAGAGAAACCATTTCTTGCCAGTCGTCTTTAAAGCCCAAAGTAAGTGAAAAATTATTAGTTAAGAATGACCTCTTTAGATAAGAAAATAAATTAACCTAAAAAATGTTGACTGGGACCTTATGACCCAAAGCTCTGAAAAATGCAAAGGGGTATGAAACCAGAAGTATTCTGGCAACACTTTAGAGGAACCTAACATTTTCCCCACAAAATAAGGACACGACAGGCCAAATGGGGAAATATTTCCTTGAACAATTTCTTTTTCACAGAGAATCTGTTTGTGCACATATACGCATCTGTGCAACAGTAAACCAGAGTTCTCAATTTGTAGTTCATTAACATGTAGCACAATTCTGGTATGCGTGAATGTTTGTGTATACACGCGTATGTGTGCGTGCAATAGTCAAAACTGCCAAAAATGGTTCCCGAGTGGCTTTATCCCTCGTGCTCTCACTAATCACCATCTTTTGAAAAATTCTTAAACCATTTTACTTCTAGAATGTAAAATCAGAAATTTCACCATGGTGTTGGATTTACAGCACCATAATTTCAAAGCCTCCACACACACCCCCATTTTTTCTCTTTTTCTTTTTGCATTTCTATGCCACGTGAAAGTTTAGCAACTGTTCTAAAGTAAAATGCTTTAGATTAAATAAAATGCTTCCAAGTCATATCTAGGTATAATACTCCACCATCCTTATAAAGCTCAATATTACAAGGCTTCCATCCAATTAAAAAAATAATTATGATAGGGACTTTAATTTTTCCCACAGAAATTTCCAAGACTAATGATAAGTGCTGTTATTCAGAAGCTCCCCCCCTACCCGCCCAACAACCTGAAGGCATAGTCACAAATTCTCAAAGGCTATAAATGAACCTACCTGCTATAGGAATCCCTCCCAGACCTGTGTTGTGCTGTGGCGGGAGATTCAAGTCCAAGAAATTACTATTTGAGGTGGGGTTTGCTGTGTGGTTCAAGTGCATGATGCTATTGCGTGGAAAGGCCATCCAAGGATAGCGGGCTGCCTGGCCTGGAAAACTGAATGAGTTATAAACCGCTCGGTGCTGTTGAAATTGAGGGAACCTCTGTGGCAAGACTGAAAAGGTACTATTGAGAGAGTTGGCATTTGTAGGTGCAGCAGGATGCAGGAATCCAGAACCTGGACCTTTGGCCGTCGTAGTGTGTGAAGACGAGGAGTTCTGAAGAGATGTGGGCGAAAGGGAAGGCTGGTCTTGGACTGACAGTTCCTTTTCAATCAGGTCTGCTAAGGCTTTTCGAGTGACATCAAAGGGATCAAAACCCAAGTCATCCTCTGGTTGTTTTGAAGAACCAAAGCCAAATGCTGCTTGCCAGTCTGTAGAGGATGATACAGGGATTGTTTCTGTTGGAAAGAAAATTAAGTGAGAAGTTTTAAGTACATAGCTCACTCTCCCACTTAACGAGCATCAAGAAAATCTCAAATATATGAAAAATCACACAACCTCTTAGCACATTATGACAGTGAATTTACGAAAAAGTCCTCATATGCTTCTAGCAATGATTTCACTCGTTATTAATTTCAAATAAATGATATAAAGTGATTTTTGTGAATCAAAAAAGTTCTTGATATTCAAATTATACCTTGAATCATTTATGATAAAATCCCTAAGTAGGTTCTTTAAATAAAGTAAAGTAAATATCTAGAAATCTATTAAAGCTTATTCTTGAAGTGTACTTATTGAAGACAAAATATAACTTTAAATATACGTCTTATATATTGCTAGATAAAAATGTAATTTCACTTAAAAATGATCTCTTTAATCTTCATAGTTTTTGTTAACTGCTTCCTCCATAGGTGCAACTGTTAATATTAATTTTATGCTGCCCTCATACTAATAAGAAAAATGCATAAAACTGTAGTGCCAAAATACATACGTCTTTATTATCTGGAGGAGATAAAAAAATTTCAACTTAACTGTACCAACACAAACAAGATAAAAAATGTAGGTGTTGAATACTTCCTAAAGGAGGTCTCTCATTCATTATCAGGAAAATGATCTAGTCTTGGTTTCTGAAAAATCCTTTAACATTGTTAAGTTTCAGGTCATACAGTGATTTATCTGACCATCAAATTCTGTTCCATATTTAATGTTTACATTCTTTTTTGTTTCTTAAGGAATGGGGGTGAAAAACAAGACAAAAACATATCCCCAAAGGGACTTCTGTTAGCGCGAGGGAATGACTGACATGAGGTTGTGCTGTTGTACCTGATGTGAAGAGGCTCTGTGGCTCTGGTGCTGTAGGCCAGTCACTGGATGTCTGTGGGGAGCTGGGGAAAGGAGGAAGCCCACTTGGGATAGGGTTGGGATGGCGAAAGTTGTCCGAAAATAACGACTGTGACTCAGTCACTGCCCCTTCAAAAGGAGACCGTGCACTGTGATTGGATGAACTGATGGGGATGACTGGATTGGATTTTGATAAACCAGGTGGTGGTGAAGGCGTATCACTATTAGATATCTAAATGAAATAAGAAAAAAAATAATAAGTTCACACATTTTAAAATGCCACAATTAACAGGGCTTGCAACTAAATGTAGTAGAATTGTGATGTATTTTTATGAGCACGAATTTACAGAAAACTAATGTGCTCTTTCCTAAAAAGACTAAACAGATTCCTTCTTATACAACCTACTTTCTTTCATTTTCGAAGAAAACAGGATTGTGCACTCTCCAGGACCTAACTATAATATTTTGCTCAAAGGTGAAACCTTTCTGGGAGCTAAATAAATATTTATTGGAAACAGACTGGTGATAAAAGACTGACTCTAATACCTAGATTCTTTTGTAAACTAGGCAATTTCCAAAGGTTCAATTTTGAGCAAAACGGAAAGAAGATCTGATCAAATTATTTCCAAACACTGTGTGAAAGATAAATGGAGGGCAGGTTCAATCGAAAAAGCCCATGTTCAATCCCTGGCACAATCTGGTCCCCCAAACACTGCCGAGGATTGTCACAGTGGGCTCATACCAGTATTGGTCCAAGCACTGGACCAATAGGCCAGCACAGCAGGCTGAGCTATCACTGGTAGTGGTTCTGAGCCTCCTGAAAAAAACACTTGGAGATTCAATCAATCAGTAATTGTGATGATAAATCCCCTTATAATTCCCAGGCATTTAGAATCAGAGGAAGTTCACAAATTTGCATGATGCTAATATCACTACTTCCTCCACATATTATTTACATGGACAAGATCTTTGTACACATTTTAAAAAAAATCAACATATGAGTAGGATTACTGCTAAAAACACAAGTAGAATGGTCTCCTACAGGTAATAACCATCATGGACAAATGAGAACTTGTTTTTAAATGGCTCTATCCACCTCATTTAGATAAATTTCCAATGTACTTTTAGTATTAAGGATTTACTAAAACTTATACTTTAAATAAAATTTTATACTTGGAAGTTACTCTGATAAAATCAACACTAAAAATAAAAATTCAGAAGAAACTAAAGTTCTGTATCAGCAAAAATATTTGGTTCTGATTCAAAATTTATGCCTTTTTATTTAAAAGAAGTACATATGTCTGTCAAGAATAAACTATATTGCAATAAGAAAAAATTCTGCAATGGTGGTGGAAATAGAAAAGTAAACTTAAAGTGAAAAAAAGAATGATGTAAAATTTCTGACTGTTACAGAAGAGTTTGTGGAAATTTTTAAAAAATGACTGATGAAGTAACAAAATTTTTGATATTTAAATTTTTACTAATTAAAAATATACATTTACTTTTAAATGCAATAGGTACACTCTGCTGAAAAGCATATCTTATAACTACTTTAACTTACTTAAAATCTTCAATCTTAATAAAATATGCAAAAATATAATTTTAAAATTCTTTTATGGAATTTGTGAGAAACGTTAAGGGAAGCACTGCATTACAGATCTCTAAGTTTCTTACAAACACTGTGGGGAACTAGACATATTTTATGGAAGACATCAGAACTACATTTTTTAAAACCAATGTAAAAGATGTACAGAAATTTAAGCAGTGAAAAAACAAGCAATAAACAAGATGATATAAAGCAGGCACTGAAGACCAGAAGCTCACTGCATATCATTATGCTTGCAACTTTCAAATTAACAATGAGTTATTATTTTAAAATCCATAGTTACTGGGATAAGGGGAAACGGGGGCTAGTAATACTGAGAGAAATAGAAAATTAGACACCAAGTGACAAGCAGAAAAGTAATTTTTAACATCAAGAACAGCAGTCATGCTTTTCTGCAATCATTTTGTATGGGATCAAAAAGATCAGTATCCGCATGCTCTAAGGAGACTGATGTACTGCAACTCAGTACAATAACATATGGTTATAATTATATTTGAATTATCAAAAGAGGGCTAAATCTATGCTCTGCATTTGTTGGAGAAAAAGAAAGCTAATTATATATAATACACTTAAAAAGATATCCACTAAAAGATCATTTTCTTTTTCAGTTTATCTTTTTCAAATTTCAAGTTTTTGGTGGGAGAATGAAAACAGGGGCACACCTGTGGTGCAGAATCCAGTGGTGGTCAGGGAGCTGTCTGAACATACCCTACAATGCTGGGGGCACGCGGTGGGGATTTGATGCAGGGGATCAAACTCAGGGCCTCGCACATACTAGGTATGAATTCTACCGCTCAAACTATTTCCCCAGCCCTAATTTTTTTTTTTAATTTCCAGCATTTAAAATCTTTTTCACAACCTATAAAATTCACTAGCATAAATTACCTTGGGAGGGGACAGATGGCAGATAAAGTGATAAGGTATCAAAATCTTACCTGCTGGGAATTATCACCATTCCCTATACTGAGAGAATCTGAAGGTTTATCAATGGGGCTGTAAAAAACAAAAAAACAAAACAAAAAAAAAATCGAATAAAATCAGAGTAAAGCCATTCCCTCCCACAATGAAAACAAATTCCCCAGAAGTCAGAAAAATGTATTCTTATCATCTTAAATTTCTCGAAGCATTATGATAACATGACGTTAGATTCTGAAGACACAAATATGACTCCTATCTTTGAGACACTTTCATTCTCATTAGATTCTCTAATACGATGGGCAAAGAGGCTAAGGCTGTAGCTCAGTGGTACAGCGTATGCCTCTGATGTAGGAGGTCCTAGGTTTGGTGCCCAGTACCACCAAAAAAAGAAAAAGTGAGGATGGGGTGAAATGTCTTATGAAGAAAATATACTACTTGAAATGAATTAAAATGGACACTACTCTAATACGACAAAAGTTTATCTTTCTCTAGGTGAAAAACACTCTTAATTAAAATTTTCAAATAATACCCACCCTGTTTTTCTAGGTCTGAAAGATGGGTACAGAAGTTATCAAAATGTTCTCTATCAGCTGTTAATAACAATAAAATGTCTTTTCATAATCCCAGAGAAGGCATATACATGTGTATAAACACACACACACAATTAACAGAAATAAGCTTTTATATACACTATTGATGCTTAAGAAAACATTCAAACTTTTAACCTCCATATAAAGAAAATGCAGTACAGTGAAGTAACAGAATTATAATGGCAAGTCCAACTAATCTGATTTAGAAACAAAATCTGATTTATGAACATTACACAAGATTAACCTACCAAATCATTTATATAACTTTAATATAACATATGGACTAACAAACATATTAAGAACAGAACCCAGGTACTAATTATTTGTTACAGTATTAAAGCGCACACACACACAAAATCAAAACTCCAAATTTCTCAAAATTGTTTTATTGTCCACAACCATAAGCAAAAAACCTTAGAATTAACTTGTGTATACTACATTTACTTCCTCTAGAAAATTTTAACAATGGCCAGAACTCAATCTGAAGAGCAAGTACATCTTCTAAACTACATAGCCAAATGCTCTTATACTTTTACTGTTATCTGCAAAATATCAATCAATCCACAGTGTTACTACGGAGAGCGGGTAATAGAAATAACCTTAAGATTGAAGGTTATTTAATTTCCTCTAGGAGATGGAGAGGTAGTACAGGAGGGAAGTTTAAGGTATATTTCTTGAATACAGTCATTTTTGCCATTAGCGTGGTACATGGTGCCCCAGCCAAAAGAAAAAGATAAGCTTTCTAGGTCCACTAAACTTAATTTGAGAAGAAAGCAGGCAGATGCACACTAACAAGTCTCAATGTCATCTATTAAACAAACTATGTATTAAATGCCTCAGGTCTTTCCTAAAAGGAAAGAGAATCCAGGAGTAGAATAAATGGGAATGTTTTCTTAGGCAATTCAAATTCAACCAGCATTTTTAAAGATTCACACATTGGGAGAAGGAAAAGAAAATGAAGAAAGAAAACAAGGGAGAAGTAGCAAGTATTTCACAGGTCTAAAGGACACAAATAGGGCTAAGAGATGTGTATGCTTCTAGGATGATTTTAGAAACAACAGTGGTTAAGGACAAAAAGAGATGAGACATCAGAGACAGAGATGAATGGAAATTATAAAACAATGTTTCAGAAAGTTGTTTGGTATGATGATCATAATTCAAATAACTTGAGATAAACTTCCAGTACTGAAAGACAAGGGGGCATATATTACCGTAAAACTATGTCAATCATTTTGAAATGCACAACTTTGTGGTATTTAAAACATTTCACTATTGTGGAATTATAACCACAATACTCTTTTTACTCTCCAAGTCATGAAAGAGAAACTATAGTTGCTCTCCATTTCACTTCCCCCTATCTACTACTGTACTTGGTCATTCTGATTTTGACTAATCTAAGTACCTCTATAAATGTATTCTGTACTAGGCTTCTGGTTTTGTTTTATTGTGTACATGGGGGGAGGGGTGGGGGGAACACCCAGCAGCACTCAGGGGCTACTCCCACCATAACCTGAACCCAGCCTTCACTAAGCCCTTTTGAGTTATTGTATTTGTCTTTTTGTGCCACCTGATTTCAAAAACAAAGATGTCCTCAAAGTTTGTCTGACTATTACAGACACACGGGTTGTCATCCTGTTGATCAAGTAGGAGCCAGTAACGTCTCTATTCCTCCCAGCCCTGAGATTTTAGCAGCCTCTTCTTACTTGACTTTTCCCAACGACTGGAGGTTCTTTCAGGGTCAGGGGAATGAGACCTGTTGTCGTTACTGTTTTTGGCACATCGAATACACCACAGGGAGCTTGCCAGGTTCTGCCCGTGCGGGCAGGATACTCTCAGTAGCTTGCCAGGCTCTCTGAGAGGCATATATTTATGTATTTTTCTCCATGATTTGTTGCCTACTGTCTGAACCCCACCAGATATGGTATAATAATTGTGGAAAATGGGTAGGGAGTATCTTATAATGTGTTGCACGGCCGCGCAGTCCAGAAAGCAGCCTGGAGCATGGCGGTGGTTGGGTAGTAGAGGTCGGCTGCCGGGGCTGGGTCCCTTGGGGTGGGAAGGGCTCTCACCCGCCCCACAGTCTGGCGTGGAGTCTAGTGGCATGGTTCTGGGAGCCTCATTTTATACTCCCGTCTGGGAGGAGTATCCCGAGTTCTACAGGGTGGCCGATGAGGAGATTATATGGTGCCGGCAGGGTATGGCTTATGTGTGTGATCCCTGAGTCACCAGAGACTGTGGGAAGCAGGCAGAGGATCTCTGCTCTGGGGTCCGTTGAGTTCAGAGTCCAAGGTCATGAAGTTCCGCATCATCTGGGTTCCGTGGGACTTCATTCATGCATGAGGCTTGGTCTGAACATCTGGAAAGTGGCCTGGAGCGTGGCAGTGGTTGGGTAGTGGAGGTCGGCTGCTGGGGCTGGGTCCATTGGGTTGGAGAGGGCTCTCACCTCTCTCATAGCATATTTCAGCTATAGTTAATAATACAGCTATAAAATGAGACATACGCTATCCCTTCCTCTTTTTAGATGTATGTCTGGAAGTGGAGTTGACAGAACCATAAGGTAGTTTTATTTTTAATTTTCTAAGAAATTGCCATACTCTTTTCTATAGTGGTTTTACATTCCCACTTATTGCAACAGTAATTAGCCACTCTAGTATTTGTGAGATGGTTACTCACTGTATTTGTTTCCCTAACGATTAGTGATACTAATTAGCATTTCACAGGCTTACTGATTATAAGTATACATTTACATACAAAAACTATCTACTATCTATTCAACTCTTTTGCCATTTCTGAATCAGGTGGTTTCATTTTTGTTGAGTTTCTCAAGTTCCTTTTATGTATTCTGGGTCAAATCGATTGTCTAAGTTTTTACATGTACACAATTAATTCCATTCTAAATAGCTTTGTTTATTGTGTTAGGTAAGGCCCCATTTCATTCTTTAAAAAAAATATGTTTTACAACACTGTCTTCTGCCACTTTGCTGAACCAATTTCTAGTTACACTATTGTCTTTATGGAACCTTTAGATCTTACTTCCAAAATATATCATCTGCACAGAGATGAATTTTACTTTCCCAAATTAAAAGTCTTTTCTGTTAATTTCCATGGCTAGCCCATCTAGTACTATCTTGAATAGCAGTAGTGAAAGCAGTTTCTCATCTTAGAGCAAAAGTTTTCACTCTTTCATCACCTTTCATCACTGGGTATGGATGATTACTGTGGGTTTTTTACATAGTATTTATATATTAAGGTCTTTTTCTTTTCTTATGTTGCCTTATTTTTAATCATAAAGGGCGCAACTTTTGTCAAACGTTTTTCTGCATCATTGAGATGATGCGAATTTTGATCTGGCAAATGACACTGATTTAGTTTTAGTTTTATTGATTAGAACAACCTTGAAGTTCAGGAATAAATTGACTCATGGTTGGGATATGCTGCTGAATTCTATTTCCAGGCAGTTTGTTGAGGACATCACCAGGATAAAGGGCCTGTTTTTTGTTCTGCTGACATCTGTCTGGCTTTATATGCTACCTCATAGAATGAATTAAGAATTATTCCCACCTCTTTAAGTTTTTTTAAAAAATACTTGAGAATGACAAGTATTGGTTCTTTTTCACACCTTTGGTAGAATTCATCAAGTTCATAGTTTTTCTTTTGAGACACTTGATTATTGATACAATCTCCTTACTTATTATTTATTTTTTCCTTATTTATTCAGGTTTCATGTTTATAGGAATGCATACATTTCACCTAGATTATCCAACCTGTTGGCATACAATTGTAAGGGCACTCTCTTATCAACCTTTGTGTTTCTACATAATCGGTAGTGATATTCACACTTTCATTTGTATAGTCCATTGAACTAAATGTTTGTCAATTTTGTTAACTCGTTCAAAGAACCAAGTTAATTTCACTAATTTTTGTCTCTAATCTTAATACTTTATCCCCTTTGTTAATTTTTTTTCTTTTGCTATTTTAGGGGCCAAACCCAGCCGTGCTCAGCTATTTATATATTTTTCTTAAATTGTTATTAGTGAAACACCATGAGGTACAGTTGTAGACTTACAAATTTTTGTGCTTGGGTTTCAGTTATACAATGATCGAGTACCCATCCCTCCACCAGTGCCCATTCTCCACCATCACTGATCCCAGTATCCCTCCCAACCCCCCCTCCCATCCCACCCTGCCTCTGTGGCAGGGCATTCCCTTTTGTTCTCTCTTCTTTTGGGTGCTATGGTTTGCAAAAGAGGCACTGAGTGGCAATCATGTTTGGTCTTTAGTCTACTTTCAGCATGCTTCTCCCATCCTGGGAGGATCCTCCCAACACCCTTTATTGCTATTTATAATTTTTAATGAATGTATTTATAGCTATAAACTTTCCCCTCAGAATCACGTTTTTTGTTTCTTAAAAGTTTTGTTATTCTGTGTTTCATTTCACCAGTCTAAGAATTTTCTAATTTTCCTTGTGATTTCTTTTTTGATCCA